CAGGGGCCAGGGAGGTCTGTGGAGCCAGTGTTCTAACTGTGGGTAAAATGCAGGTAAAAGAGGATGAGGGAGTTGAGAGGAAACAGTGAGAATACAAAAGCAGTCATAAAAGATGAAAGAATGGATAAATCTGTGATCCGATTGATTTTATAAGTAGATAAATGCCATTATGACAAATCACTGGATTTGACGACTCCGTTGGATTTTCTCAAGATAGTTTAGGCAATTTGGAACTTACGGCTTTATATTGGTGGAAAAGAGTTCTTGGAAATATGCCAGTCCAATTCCTGGCAAATGCTGTTTCTGTTATTTTAATATCTTATACTTCACTAGAATTTCACATTAGTCTGCAAGTGATTGTAACAATTGGAAATGCACTAAGTTTGGTTTAGCTCATATCTTAGTCATACTCACCTCCCCAGCACTGAGCACCGTGCCAAGCACGTAACAGATGCTCAAGAATTGTGAGTAATGGTTTCCCCTTTCCCTGTAATGAGTGAAAAGGGAGAAATTAATGACTGTCACGGTGATCCTCAAGGCCTAGGGCAATGGTTCACACGTTATTAGCACGTATTAACAAAATAATAATACGTTGAATGATAATTTTGCTCTTTAACAGAGTTTGTTTTTTAAAGTTTTCTGAAAGAATGTGTTTTTTATTAGTTTAAAAACACACACATACCTAACAGTTTGATTCCAAAAAGAGTGTGAGAGGGAGGCAGGGATATATCACTGTGGGGCAGGGCGGATGTTGTTCACCATTGCATTCATCCTCCCGTCCCATTCGGAGAAGTCCTTCCTATGAGTCTGGTCTCTTCCCTGCTCACACTTTGAGATCACTTCCCTGGGTAGCCACTGCTCCTGATGACGTGTTTCAGGACTGGAAAGAGACGAGAATTATGGCTCTGACCTCTCTACCTTTGACTTAGAGAAGCATTGCCTACATTCTTGCACTTACAGATGCTTGGAAATGGGAATCACCTTGAAAATTTGTTTTTTATAGTTTTTGTGTCATTTAAAATTAAGGTGTTTATTTTGGAGACTCTAAAGTTAATCATTAGGATGAGGGGCTAGGGTTTTTTGGAAAAGGTGAAATGGGTAATCAGATTTTGAATTAACCTGTTTGAGATTCCTTAAATCATGTTTTAGTGTAGTGATTCTCAACTGGATGAAATTCATGAGACTCTTTTCAAGAAAACTAAACATAGTGAACTCTCCCAGAATATGTCTAAAACTCCAGCTTGGAAAACCACAAGTTAAACAGGGTTTAACTACTGTTAAACTGCCATTCAGTTATGATGACATGGTATCATTTGATCTTTCTTTGCTGATTAATTAATCTTTAATACAGATACAAAAGAGGATAGTGAAATTGCTTGGCATAAATTTTATTATAAGGTGGTCATCTAGATGATCTAGAATATATTTACACAAGTTTTTAAACATGACATTGAAATGAAAAGACAAAGATTTATGTGCTTGGAACCCTTAGAATGTATCTTTATACCCTTGTCTGCGACAGTCACCTCCTTAATGGAAATATACTTGGGAGCTATTTAAAGTCACAGTGTAAAGAGGGCTCATGACAGAAGGAAAATGGTAAGGGCTGTGCATGTAGTGGGATTTCAGCTGGTTTTGGAAAAAGTGGTAACTACTGCTGCTTTTCTCCTTTAGCTCCCTTGTGAAGGATTCTTCTCCTGTTCCTCTGATTGATGTTACAAACCTCCCCACTCCTAGAAAATTCCTCGATACCTCTCAATATTCTACTGCTGGAAGTTCAAGTGGTAAGTATTTAATTTTTCAGCCACTAAACTTTTTAGTATGCTGCTGTTCCTAGGCAAAGACCTGGGGAAGCTTTGGGGGCTGGGCTTAGAGGGCCTGATGTTAGAGCCTTTTGCAACCTTCAGAGCAAATAAGATACACAACAATTGACTGGGCCTCTTGCATTATCAGGGTTGAAAACTGGCAGCTGAACCTGGCCTGCCTGCTGTATCCAGCTGTAGGTGTGTTTTATTTGACCAGTCCTGTTTTTCTAGAGTTTGAATGTTCTTTGATAGAGTGTGTGCTTTCCTTTTGCTGTAACCTCTATTAGCTTTTACCCAGCTGTTCCATGGATTACATTGCATGTCTGGTCGTAGAGAGCTTTTGAGTGTGTGACCTCTGTCCTGTGTCCTGATTCCTGTTTTATCTTCCAGGGGCTGCTCTGCTCCCAAATGTACCCGCATCCACGTGTGCACACACACTCATACATGTAACACAGTTTGTGGATATATCCACAATGAATTGTTTCTTCATTGGGGCTATCTAATATCCTATTGAACAAAACAAAGGAGAGACATTTTGGGATATATTTAAGGTTGGGGGTGTAAGGATGTACTTTGAGTCTGGATGCAAAGATTTAGGGGAATCTTGTGGAGTGGCTCAGACTTGCCCCTTCAGAGAATTCCGCTCGGCTGGGTTCAGAGAACTTCTGGGCCTTTTCAGAGAGTTTCTCTGTCATTGCAGCTTTAGGGTGGGGGAGAAGAGGGGCTGGATGTGTTTTGTGGGATGCCTTGCAGGTGCCTTTGTGTGGCAGCCAAAGTTTTCAGTGCCTTTTAAAGAAATAGTAATGTTTATTATTATCTTTTCAAATAAAATTTAGGTCTTATGGTTCTTATTATTTCTTTAGTTCTATAGAGCTCCAAAGAATAAAAAGGTAGAAAAATAATTTGAATTCAATCAATACATTTCATGTAACTAATTAAAAGTGTTTCTTTTGAGAGCCCAACAATATTGTTGCTGGGGCATATTTCATTACCCTTACAATGTCATTTAATTAAATTATTTTAGGGTTATTTAAGCTTGGGATCTTGAAGTTTATTACTTTTACTGTAGGAAAGTATAGGATTTTACAATTGATTTTTTTTCCTTTGTCAGTTTACTTAGTAACTGATCTTTTTGAAAAATCCCAAACACTTATTTTTATTATGATACTTTACAAAGGTTTGTGTTGAAGCCTCTTGTTGGAGTTAGAAAAGGTTTTGTTCTTTTCCTCTTTCTGATGTAGCGTTGCTTTTGAGTTTTGACACTGCTCTTGAGCTATTATAGAGTGTGGAATTATGAAGGAGAAAATATACTTTTGATTTATATTTTATCTCTGCCTTTTGTAGAAATTACCAATTGTTACATATTTGCATTTTTATAAATGTGAATCACCACTGCTTAGCCTGGTTATATTAATTTACGTAAATGTAGCTGAGTCAATGGCCAAGTAAAATAAAAATTTTAATTATTCATAACGGAATGATAGGGCAGGCTTTGCAAATGAAAAGGTATAAATATCAAACAAACTGAAAAATGCCAATTATGGCAAATTTCAGTAGAAACTAAATTGCTACATCTATTATTTTTAATAAGACAGGTTTTACTTTTTCATGGGCGTTTTTTTCTGTCAGGTCCTGGAGTTTGTGTTTATCTCTTAGTGGAGTTTGTGGTGACACTTTGACTTTGGCATTATTAGGAACAACTCTTAAAGAACCACATGGTAGTTTAGTGGAGCTGGGACCATTACGGAGACTGTTTATAGAGATGTGTACAAATCTTTCTTTTTAGATGGGTTCATTTCCTTTACTGTTTTGAAGGCTATTGATATTGTGATTTTTTTCTGTGGGTGACTGAAAAAGAAGATAGTTAAATATTATTGATTAAAATTAATAATAGCAGAGGTTAAGATGTATTTAGTGCCTCCTACATGTGAAGCAGTGTTTTAAGTACTTTACATGAATTAACTCATTTAGTCCTTCAACAATCTTATGAGATGGATACTATTGTTAGCCCCATTTTACAGATGAGCAAAGTGAGGCATAGGGAGGTTAATGCTTGGTAAGTTTACACAGCTAACAGATAGCTATGATTTCAACTCATGAACTAGGTTCCAGAGTATGCTTTTCTAACCACTTTGTTGTGCTAAAAACAAGCTCTAGGTATCCTCTGTGTATTAATTTTCTTTTCACACAAACTTAGTGGCTTAAATAACATAAATTTATTATTTTACAGTTTTGTAGGTCAGAAGTCTAATTGGTCAGAGACTTACTGACTAAAATCAAGGTGTTGGCAGGGCTGTGTTCCTGTTTGGAGGCTCTAGGGGAAAATCTGTTTTCTTGCCTTTTTTGGCTCCTGGAGGCTGCCACTCTCCTTGGCTCACGGCCCCTTCCTCCATCTTCAAAACCAGCAATGGTGGGTCACATCCTTCTCACGTTGCATCTCCTTGTCTCACTCTTCTGCCTCCTCCTCCTTCTTTTAAGGACTCATGTGATTAGATTATTTCCATCTGGATAATACAGGCTACCCTCCTATCTCCAGGTCCTTAACCTTAATCACATCTGCTCTCTCCTGTGCCATGGAAGGGAACGTAGCCACAGGTTCTGGGGATCAGGATATGGATATCTTTGGGGAACCATTATTCTGCTTACCACTCTTGACATTGCCTATTTTCTGACTTAAATTATCTTTAGGAGCCAAGTGTAAAAAATTTGACTTTCTTCAAGTTATGTAGTGAGCTCTTTTTAAGTCATTGCAATTCTAGTCTTTAGGACTATATTAATCGGGATCGCTTATTAAAGGGAATTGTGTAAATGAGGAAGATTATTCAGAGAACTGCGCAAAATGTTACTAAGTACACATAAAAGTATGGGGCTGATGAATATACTATAATAAAGGATGGAAATTTTGTCTTATTCTTAATAATGAGCTATAAGTTCTAAGAGTCGACTTGTGAACTGCTCTGCAAGCCAGCCCAGGGAATTTAACAGAGGCTCTTAAAGCTCCCCTCACACCTTGTGAAACAGTAAGATTGAAGGTGTAATCCATTAGAATTAACGGTTTGATAGAGGAAGTTCCAATAGGGAATCTCTGGATAGAATGGATCTCCCACTGGGGTGTCATCAATTAAGGTTGTAGGTGATTCCTGAGAACTTTCAGGTTATTATTAATTAAATGAGAATATTGATTGCTTGCAAATGAGTTTTTCAGATGTCCTATTTAGAGGTAAAGTTGTAGGTAACTTTTCTATGGGAGATTTTCTGTCATAGTTTGTAAGTTATAACTTGCAAAGTACTTTACCTCACTTAACTGATACAACAGTCCTATGAGGTGTTAATAGTTATGGCAGGTACTAGTGTGATTACCATTACAATAGTTATATTTATATCCATTATATTTAAGTTTATGATCAAATATTTAAGGTCTCATAAAAGTTATATAGAATTATATATATGTATGCATCATCTAATTTAAAAATAAAACATTTACTTACAAAATGCGAAGCCAAGGCTCAGATTTGCAAAAGAAAGTAACCCATTAACAGAAAAAT